TAATAATAATAATAATAATAATAATAATAATAATAATAATAATAATAATAAAAAAAACCAAACAAGCTATTAGGTGCTTGCTGAACTGTACTATGCAGAGTGGCATAAGATGCCAGAATTATTCTGTGTGTACACAGGATGATGCATTTTAGTCAGTGATACAGGGGAGTGAAAATCAGCATATCAAGGTTTGAAATCCATGGTTAATGCAGAGGGCCTTCCCTAGATCTCATGATCTCATACAGGCTAAACACAGAACTTGTGATCCAGGAATTTTTATCACTATATCAGCACACCACTCCTCTCAAATTCATCAGCTCCATTGAGAGGCAGAGCACTGATAGGCCCAGCTCAGGCATCCCATTTCATTAACAGTGTTACATGGCTTCCAGACTGCAGGTGCTTGTGTCTCAGCCAGAGTGGAGCATAAGGCTGTGGAACTGGAGTCTATCTATGTTGATCTACCCTAATTTACAGAATTTGGAACCGGTTACTTCATCTCTCTGTATCTTCTCTAGAAATGCTTCACAGGAATACTGTGAGGTTTAATTGGCTTTTTACTTCTGAATGTTTTTCTTAGAAACAGAGCCCCTTGCCAAAACCAGCAAATCAACTTAATAAAGCAATAATGCTAATGTAACTGTAACTGGTTTTTCATTATATTCTACTATGCTTTATAATGTAGTGTTGTCCTTTTTCAAATCAGAAAGTACACGCAGGTAGCTAACACAACTTTGCACAAAGGCAAACTCTTCCTCATCTCTAACTGGAGTTCCTGAATACTCAACACCGCTGAAAGGCATGCCTAAGTCATACATTCAGTATCAGGCTGCCTTACTACAAGCTGAGTTCTAGTTCTTAGTGCTTTAATTTTCCCAACTGTAAAATAAAAATGTTCAGTTCACTTTGTTATTAATAAATGAATATGAGATGCACTCAGTGACCTTCAGTCTCTGGGGAAGTTTTCATCGTCCATCCAACAAATTCATAGCAGAGGCTCAGAAGCATAAAGAAGCCAAAGGAAAAAAAAAAAAAAAAGGACTTTATAAACCAGATTCTTGTCTTTAATAGCATCTCAGATGGAATAGGAGTGATTGAAAAACTGAGGAGGAGTAAGGGAACAACTGGACAACTGAGAGCCAATAGGGCTGAACCTTAGGCTTACTGACCGCAGGCAACTCATCAATGAGGCAACTCATCCAAGAGTGACTCACATTTATTGAAAACTGATCTGTTTAAGTACTGTAAGGCTCATTCATGCTGATTCCCTTTTCTCCCACGGTACTTCCTGGCTATGTGTATTAGGAGTAATAGGTTTGCATAAAGAACAGAGCACACAGGCTGCGAGGGATATAACAGTTCAGCTGGAGTACAAATTTAGGGCTGCCTGAAATACCTTTCACAGGAATACTGTGTTACTGATTTTATTATCAACTGAAATTAAATTGTGTTTGATTTTAATATAAGTATAGAATTAAGAGATATTTTAGTAAAAATCATTTATTTACATTTATTGTACTTTGAATCTAGCAACCAACTGCTACTCTAAAATCCCCTGTACAGCCCCGTACCAAGGCTGAAGGGATTTGTCGTAATTGTCTAGTAGGAACGGTTAGAGTCTAGGTAACAAAACACAAGGTGATTTGTAAACTGTTTTATAATACATGTATAGGAGTAGAAGAAAGCAAGTAGTTGTCAAGGTCCAGGATTAATGGGAACTGAGGGAAGTCACCGTAACAGCTTGCAAGTACCTGCCAAGAAAACTGTGTCCTTAAGCAAAAGGTAATTCTGGCAGGGGGAGATCACGACCACCAACTCATGGACCACCTACTCACATCACACCCCAGACCCATTTCTAGACGTTTCTAACCTTTACTGGGCAGAATCGGAAATAGGAGGAGAATATGTTAATGATTTATTGGAGATTGTATGTTTATGTATGTTACTTAATTAATATGTATGAGTAAGTTCTATATAAAGTGTATGATCCTGGTGCCCAGCACGTGTTGTTGGTGAGAGCACTCCCCTACATGTCTGGCCATCAATGAAGAAATGTCTGCTTATCTACATCACATTGGTGTCAATAAGTTTTTATTCCGTTTTTTGTTGACAACTGGACTTCCTGTGATCTGCTTGTTAGAAAACGTTTTTCTCAGGTCATCTAGTTTGTTAAGGGACAGTAAACAACAGCTGTTTTGGCAATGATTTTAAATCCCACTTCAATATTTTAATTCAGGATTTAATAGCCCCCAAATCCTAAACTTCTCTTTGATTGAAGTTTTTCCCACATAATATAATCCAAACATCTGCTCTTGTGGGGTTGAGAAGGGCTAGTAAATTTCAGAAGAATGCCTGTTTCATCTCTGAGCTTGAATAATGTATTGTTCAACTTTTAAGTACTTCGAAATGCTTGTGAATGATGCTGGCACAGTCATTCTATTAAACACAAAGCTTCCATATGCAAAGACATCCTGGATAGCCTTCAGGCAGACTTAACAGTATCTGTATACACTCTGAAGTGTTGCTATTCTGGCGTTAGAACCATAGTGATTCTGCATAAAGGACTTCTATATTGGTGGGTGGTGCGCTACACAGCTTTGTACATAAAATTGATTTTTTGACCTATTGGTCATGCCTGAGTTTACATTTTTTATTCTTAACATTTCACAAGAGGCTTTATTTCATCTACAAGCATCTGAATAACTCCATGCATAGGAGTTGCATCAATGCCTACTGAAATCAGTGGAAAAGCTTCTACTAGTTTAGAGGCGTATGTATCTAATCTATAGCTTTGTCTTTGCAACAGGAGGGGGCAAAATTTTCTTAATCTGAGCAAGAAAGTATTCTTCCTCTGAACTAACTAACTAAAAATGAATGCTAATGAAGGAAAAATGTAAGTTTCATACCAGTGGGATAGCGTGGGAAGCCTGATACTTAATTTGTTAGCTTGTGTAAAACCTATACCTTCACTGTTTGTACATTCAGTAGACTAATTTAAGAATACTTTTTTTTTTTTTTTTAAGAGAAAGCTAAGAGACTTTAGCCAGCATCTTCTCCTCCAGATCCACCTTTGCAAGTGGAAGAGGTTATTTTCCCAAGCTGCTTGTCTTCCCTTTGCTGTATGAAGTTACTTTTTTCCTTAGATTAATTGGCAAAGGACTTTCTGGGAGTGTTTAATTTACTTCTGGCAAAACCAGCTCAGCTTGCTTAGACAGGTTCAAGGCAGACAAGCAACATACATTAGGCTGTGGATGTTTCTCAATGTTCTATCCCCCAAAGGTCAAGAAAAGATAGTAAAATAGACAGAAACTGAAGGTTGTTCCTTGCCAGCTTGTGTTTCCACTTAAAGCAACAGGTACAAACATCAGCAAGTCCATGACAGTCCAACCCTGTAACAGCAACTGAAACAGAGTCCAGAAGGAGAAGAATTTCCAACAGAATAAAAAAATAGTATCTCCATAAGCTTAGCTGTGTTTCTGAAAGTGAATGAAGTTCAGTTCTTCTGCTATATTTTGCTAAGTGTATTTTGAAGGTTTAAAGAAACTGGTCTTATTTCCTCCATGCCTCACTATTATTCCATCATCTAGGCAGTCTATACTACCAAGGTAGGATTCCATTGGTCATGAACCTTCACAGGTTTTTTTGATAGCTTAGTAATTACCCATATTAATGTATCTACTTGTATCAAGTTCACATATAGTTAATCAATCAACTGTCCCCATTTGTGATGGAGGGGAGCAACCAAATTTATTTCAGGATATTATGACCCAGTATTCTGAAACCTGTACAAAATTCCCTAAAGGGGACCTGAAAGGCATCTTAGTCAACGAAACCACAAAGTTCATATTTCTCTGGTGCCCCTGACTACAGATTAAATGCAAAGACAAAATAATGAAAAGAAATGTAGAAGAGATTGCTACCCTAACATGTTCCCAGCTATCTACTATTCCATGCCACATCAGATGTCAATGCCTTCTCAGATCTGCCAAATGAGCAAATTGTGTAATACTCCCCCCCAACCCCTGTCCATGAAAATAAACTTGACTATTTCAGATAGCTTAAATAACATTGTTAACGCATCTCATGTTGCCTTATGTGGGTTAATGAATGAATAATTCATACAAGCAGCTCAATTGCTAGATCTGATCTGAAACTCTGGTAACCCTTTGTAAAGGACAACAATCTGTTCCATCAGCACTGGTGAAACAAAAAGTTGTGTCCCCCTTCTCCAACACTGTAATCATGCAGTAATATCATCATAGAGCAAAACCTGGTAAAATTACAGTGTCACCAAAGTAAAGTTTCATATTCAAGTAGTATTTCCTAGAATTTCACTCTGAAACAGTTTGAATGCAGACTTCACATAGTACCCTGATATTCTGTTTGTTAAAGCCCTGTTCTGTAACCAGATGAACAATAGCCTATGAGCCTATGATAAACTCTAGAGTAAGTCAGTGAAACTGTGCTCGTAAGAGGTTTCAGGTCAAAGGTAAAACCAGCTTGAATTACATGTACAGAACAAGAACAAAGTTCACTTGTTGGAACTGTGTATTCCAGTTATATAATGGAACTTGTAAGGAACAGAACAGGCTGACTACCAAAGGGAAGGATGTGTTGGAATGCTCAAGGCCATCAATCTCGTTTGCGGAGTGTATCAAATCTAGCTGAAGCTGAAGTGGGATTTAGTTTGTAGCTTTGCTTCAGATATACTCCTGGAAGGCATATGCATCATGTGCACCTGTTAGAGACTGATTTAGTTCCCCTCTTTGGTCAGCAGTTTTCTATAAGCAGACTTAATTTTGGTTTCTAAGCTCCTGACTTCCTGGGTCTGGACAGTCAGTCACTTGATTTTTTTGACTCTGTTAGGTATGTTCAAAGGTGCTATTTTCTCACATGATACCTAGCAGTATGACTGCTTCAAACACAATGTCATACATGCAT